CCGCCACTGCGGGCGGAGGGGGCCCGGCCCGGCCTCGCCGAAATGATACTCGGTGCAAAGTTCCACTTAAAACACTCTTTTTTTAATCAAGGAAGTTGAACGAAAAAAAAAAAAAAAAAAGCAGCCCTGGACAGTAGTTAAATTTTATTACAAGCGTAATAAACTTCATGATTTTTAGCACTAAGGCAATCACAGTTTCATAAGTTATATATATATATATATATATAAAAAATTTACACAAGTCTACATCGACAAATCAATTACCAGTCACACCAACGAGGGGCTCGGGGCTCGTGTTATGGCAAATAACGTTTATGAAAATTCACAGTTAATCTGCAAGTATTTTAAAGATGCAGGAGTCATATTGCACATCATAAAACAGCGGACGCCGAGGAGCAGATTTACAGTGTTCCAGCTATTCCTTCACAGAATATACATTGGTCATCATCATGCAATATCTTCAAATACAGAATGGTATCATGTACCACAGTAAACAGTTACTCACAATGTAAGTTTTAAATAGAGTAGCAAAAGGCTGTTAGGTTTCTCTTTAAACCATATTTAAATTCTGAAAATATAATAAAACACTTTGATAAATCAAACGGAATTATGGTTGTCACATTATATTTCTAGTATTCTTCTTTGTCTTTTCCTTTCTTTTCCTTTTCATCCTGTAGTGCAGTACCAAGTTTCTTTATGAGGACCGACAAAACTTTGTCCAAAGGATCCATGACACCGCGCTGCAGCCACTTTGGAATAGTGGTCCTTGCGTGGTGAAAGCCCAGCTTTTGGAGGATGTAGTCAACACCAACGGGATCAATTTTTCTCCCAGTCCAGGATATTAATCTAAAAAAAGAGTAAATAGGGGACTCCATCTCAAATATATAAATATAGCAACTGGCGTTTGTAGAAAGCAAACATCCCTTTTTACCACTGTTACTTCTGACCAACTTAAGTCTAACAACCATTGTTTCCAACTTTTTTATAGAGTTAAGCTGAAGATGACCAACGGAATATTTTCTCCTCGAGGAGGCAAAAAACCACACGGGGCTGGCCTCCATACCATATTTAAATTGGTTTATTATTACTGCTAACACAAAATGCCAACTGGCAGGAGTTGTTTGGCACGGGTTGATGTGCTGTTTTGCTATGTGAATGAACATTTTGATAGGTGAATGAAGTGCTCCAGCAGTGTCAGCAGAGGTTAAAAACCAAACAAACACTGACACAAAGAAAAGTAATTTTCAGCGATTAGAAGTGCATATTGAGGATAGAGAGTTGCTGCTATACACACTCTTGTGCCAAATTTAAACTGCTATATAGCAACTAATACATAGTGCCTCTATTTTAAGGTAAACTGCTTGAAGAACTAAAACTGGAATGCTAAAAATGGAAAACTGCAAGGTGAAAAACTGTATGGCAGAAAGAGAATGGACTGTTGTAGGATAGAGTCAAACCCAATAATCTCTGGTCCTTAATGAGTTTAATTTTACTGTATCCTAAATTTGAAGAGCCTCCAACTGTATTTTTAATCCGAATAAATTCTAATCTAGCAATTAACTGACGGAATAGCTAATTGACTTATCCATTTTCTGTCATGTCCTGTAGCAGGTGTCTTTCCTAGCAGCACTAATAGCCAGATATATGTGTAACAGCATCCACATGACTGATCCTCTTAGGAGCTGAACAGCATCAACTTGGAAACATTTGTTGTTTGCAGGAGAGTACCCACATATAAAATGCATTAACAGACTGCAGATTAGCCTGCTTGTTACCTGAGTGTGGGTTCCAAATGCCAAGTATTGCACATAAATTCTCTCCAGTCAACTGTAGTGTAAGTAATGCTTTCCTCTGCCTCTTTGTCAGTGGAGCTGTCCTCAAGAACACCAACCGAGTTCTTCTGCCCTGGACGAGCAGCCAAAATGCGAGGAGGAAAAATTGCTACAAAACGGAGAGAGGAAAACCCCACAAGTCATGAGCATCTCACTTGTATTCTCTTTGTACAGCATTTAAAACAAAAACGAAAGCAAAAAAAAAAAATCTTAGGGAAAGAGAACACCACCTTATGTTTCAGATTTACACAATTTCCGGCAAACAGTTTTGGTTTGAACAAAGTGCTAGTAAAAATTATGCTGTGAAAACTGTAACAGACACTGGATAACAATGAAATGTGGGACTCTTCCCTCTCTCTGTCAGCCCAAGGCATCCATATAGAGAGGCTTGCTTTCAAATCTGTCACGGCATTCAACAAAGCATATTACATGCCCTAAGCAAAATTCAGACATGCTCCTAGTTTAGAATATTTCTTTAGATTGAGAGAGTAGTCTCTGAGGAGGAGGATGGCAGGGGAAAAGTTAAATCTTTGTCCAAAGGCACCAAGAGGATCTGAACGCAGATCTTACTTCAGTTTAAGTCCTGGAATACAGAAAAGGAACAGCAGCTCCTGCTCCTCCAAACAACATATTTCATAAAATAAAAACAAAACTGTGAATTTGGATTAAATTTTGATTTAAGATAGCTTGAAAACAAATTTTTTTACAAAGTTACACCAAAAATAGTTATCCTCCCCTTTTACTAGTTTCTGCACCTGTTGGACATTTTACTATAAAGTGCTTTTAGGAGGCGCTGCTAGCTGAGCTGTATACAATTACCTGTAAACAGATTTTGATACGATTAGGTATAAAGATAAAATTTCAAAATACTTCATTTAAGGTGTTCTAACATCATCTAAGTTATGTTTACACATCACAACATGTTCCATCACATGAGTAAGTGTTACATTTTCTATACAGTTCAGTAGTAAGTGAAAACTACTATGCACAACATTGAATTTGACACACATCAGAAAAACAAAATATGTGACTTTCACATACATGACTGTGTCACCTATTTCTTTAAAAGCTACCACAAGAGTAAAGTACAGAAATTAAAGTCTAGAGCAGGACTGCTGTCGCAAAATTTGGAAAAACTTAATTTAAGATCAGAAGTTGTAAAACTGTAGATAAGCAGCTTTTCATTTCAGTGATGATGCCTCATCTGACATTAACAGGTAAGTATTTGCTCTCCACAGCTTCCCTGAGGAGGGAAAGTGGAGAGGGAGGTGCTGATCTACTCCTGGTATCCAGTGACAGGATGTACGGGAATGGTTCAAAGCCGCGCCAGGGGAATTTTAGACTTGACATTAGGAAGCATTTCTTTACCAAGAGGGTGGTCAAACCCTGGAAGAGGTGGTCAATGCCCCACACCTGTCAGTGGACATTTGGACAATGCCCTTAACAACAGGCTTTAACTTCTGGTCAGCCCTGAAGTGGTCAGGCAGCTGGACTAGATGACTGTTGTATGTTTCTTCCAACTGAAATACTCTTTTATTTTATTCTACTATTTTATTCTATACTACTTATAGTAAATGTAACATCTGAAATAATTTTTATCTGTGATCAACACTCACAGTGCTGTTATAATTTCCAATTCCTAATTAATTTAGTAGGTTTTAGATAATCATGGGAATAAGTACTTGTAAAGCATTAAAGCCACTAGACGATGACCTTCCCTTCCACATGCAGGTAATCACTGAGCAAAGTTAGTCTATTCATCACTGCACTGTTTACTCACCTTGTCTGCAACAACAAAAATCAATCTGTGTTTGCTGCACTTTACATCAAACTCATTTGTCTTTAATTTGCTGCTCTTAGTAAAGACCACATACTGTTTAAGAATGCATGTGTCAAATTTGAATGCTGCGACTGAACATATTCACATGGAAAAGTATTCTGAAGTCAGAAAAATACACGTCTTGAAAGAAACTAACTCAATTGATGAAGGGACTGCAATAAAAGTAATGTAACTTCCTAAAACAATTTTCATCTGCATATACTATCTTACATAAAGAAAAAATAAACATCAGGTGTCAAAACAGGAGCAAGTTTATGACTTAGAGTGACTAGCACAAGTTCATCAGTGGGCAAGGAACAGAAATTGAGGATATGTCTGTTCTCTGCAGCATACCGCAGGTAGGTGCTGCATTGGAGGCAACCGGTTGTTTTTGAACAACCTGCTGTACCTACACAGTGTAGCAAAGTGCCACACAGAGATACTAGTACAGCTCCCTGCACAGTGGTGGCACATCAGTGTAATGACACTACCAGGTTTTTAAGTTTGTACACAACTATTCTGTTTCCAGCCCTACAGGAGCTGACTTTAAAATCAGCTCAAGTATTTCCTGAACGATGTTGCACTTTCTGAGAGGTGCCAAAATTGCTCTTGGCTTTCAGTCTAAAACAACCAAGAAAAAACGTTTTATTATTGTACAGTTAAATTTCACTTAGTGATTGAAAGAGGTAACTATTGTTTCATATCACTAAGTTCAGATTTCAAGAAGATTTAATACTGCTTCTGTTGATCACAGAGGAAGCAAAGTTAGGCTTAACTTTTTCTAACAAGT